GTGAAGCTCTCAGGAGGATTTAAAGTGTGAATAAAACACAACAGACGCAGCATCAAATGGCATTATGAGTATAATAAGAGTGTTAATTTACATACTAAGCTCAAGTCATCTAGAAGAAACTGTTCTCCTGACATTATTGAAGCAACTATGAGAACACGCTTTCTGTTATCAGCAAAATATTGAGATGAGGATGAATGTGCAAGCTTTTTTTTTATTAACGTGATGATGACGGCAGGGAAAAAACACTGTCAACCAACATAAACAAACTATAAGGAACAAACGGAAGGCTATTTATACACACATTAAAAAAATAACTAAAATGGAAACAGCTGTGGGAATAATTACCAACTATGGAAACCATGGGAAAACTGAAATGAAACAAGGAACAAATGGAATGTTACAAACTAAGAGTCTTATACATTTCCAGAACAGAAATATGAACATTTGATAAAGTCAGGTTCAAGATTCTTGTACATAATAAAAGGTTTTTACGGACGGGATTTTAGATTTCTCTTTTTATCACTGCATGTATCAGAAAATACTGTCAACATACAGAAAAAAATTATTTTCACCGTGTTTTAGGGTTAAAATGTTATATGCAACTGATATATGAACAAACCCCTCTGTAAAACACTTCAGAATATATATAGGAATAAAACCGCTAAGTTATGAAAGCAAAATAGACCAAAATCTCAAATTGAGCAGTGCATGAAAAAACAATGATTTCGCCCGTAATGTCTTAAGACTTAAGGTTTAATTTTTGGTTTGGGAAACAGGAAATTAACCCAGGAACAAATAGAATATTACAAACTCCATGGACAATTTCAACATATGATTTCAAAAATGCTTAAGTGAAAACATTATGATGATAAAGATGTCATGTTTGCTGTGATCCCATGTTTGATATATCTGGTCTTTCACACTCTGAAAAGAAAAGGTTCTATATAGAACCCTAAAGTGTTCTATCAGGCGCTTCATAACTGTATATGGAACCTTTTTAGGGGTTTCCACCATGGATTTAGTTTGAATTAATTTAGTTTTAATTAATATCTTATTTTATTTAATTTTAATAATTATCAGCTTGTACACAGACTTTATTAGTATACAAAATTACATAACCTGTTAAGAATGAAAGTATTATGCAATCATTTAAGACATTTCTCCTTCTACAGAACCTCTTTGGTAATTTCTAATAGCGTCTGCAGGTGTTTAGTGTTATTACCGTCATTATGTGTGGTGATTTCTGAAGATCATCGTGAGTTTGAGAGTCTCGGATACTCACCTTTTCTAACGTTCATCTTCACTTCAGTGTAGGAATCTTTTGCTGTAGTTCTATCAACTCCACACTGGTACGTCCCAGAATCCCCTTCACTCAGATCTCTGATGGTCACATTGAAAACTGCTGCTCTTGTGTCGTCAAACAGAGAGAATCTTCCAGAATGAGCCCATTTATCTTTCTCTTCAGTCCTGATGAGTTCAGTGCACCACTTACCCTTTTCTTTCTCTGGCATCTTTCCTTTACAAAAATACTTTGTGTTTTGGGTATAATTCTTCACATATTTGCATCTAATGTTGACTTCCCCGCCTGAATATCCTGTCACACTAATGGAGCTCACGGCCTCTACAACAAACCAGCAGTAAAATAATTTCAACATGAGCTGAACTTAAAGACTCTGTGCTGTTTTGAGTGATTTACTGTGAGTTCAGATTCTTACCAGGAATCATCAGCAGAGTGAACGTCCAGATGATCTTCATTCTTCTCTCTTACTCAATGATCTTCTCTGTAGTTAGTAGATTCTGAGTGTTTCTTTCCTGGTTACATGACTATCATGAAATGCTGAATGTGACAAAGAGTCACCCACTTCCTCTATTTTTGCCACACACAGAGAGAGAGAGAGAGAGAGAGACAGAGAGAGAGAGAGAGATAAAGAGAGAGAGAGAGCGAGAGAGAGAGAGATAAAGAGAGAGCGAGAGAGAGAGAGATAGAGATAAAGAGAGAGAGAGAGCGAGAGAGAGAGAGATAAAGAGAGAGAGAGAGCGAGAGAGAGAGAGATAAAGAGAGAGCGAGAGAGAGAGAGAGATAAAGAGAGACAGAGAGAGAGAGAGAGATAAAGAGAGACAGAGAGAGAGAGAGAGATAAAGAGAGACAGAGAGAGAGAGAGAGATAAAGAGAGACAGAGAGAGAGAGAGAGATAAAGAGAGACAGAGAGAGAGAGAGACCGATCTCTCTCCCTCTATTTTTGCCACACACAGAGAGAGAGAGAGAGAGAGAGACAGAGAGAGAGAGAGAGAGATAAAGAGAGAGAGAGAGCGAGAGAGAGAGAGATAAAGAGAGAGCGAGAGAGAGAGAGAGATAAAGAGAGACAGAGAGAGAGAGAGAGATAAAGAGAGAGAGAGAGAGAGAGAGATAAAGAGAGAGAG